TCCCATTTTAATCACTCAAAAAATACATACTTTCTTTTTGAGGTGCTTTAAACTTTGCAGTTGATATAACAATCAGTTTGTTTTCCATTCTGTGCCTCATTAATATATCTGTGTCTTTTATGGCTTATATGCCAGATGATACTACAGAATATCATCTCTCTTTCAGCTGAATGGTCTCCTTCTTAATATGTGAATATCCTGTATTTTTGAATTTACCTCTCTGGCATCCATCACTGTTCCTACTCCAACGGTGAGCGTCATGGTGGGCACTTTGGAAAGATCGTTCCCAAAGAAACGAGCATTGGCTACTATCGTGTCCTTGGCCAGGGTCTTCACTCTGGTCCTGGACACAAGACTGGAGCCGGGCTCATTAAAGGCGATGTGACCGTCTGGACCAATGCCTGAAAAAAAAAATCAAGCGTTATAAAAAGGAGAAATAACAGATTAATGAATGATAATATGCGATGATTCTGAATATAATAGTAGTTGGGTATGAAAGTAAGTAATGCATATCACTGAAAAACAGTAATGAGCTGAAATGTGCTTAATTATCATAAAAACAATGTAAAAAAATATATTTTGACTGAATTCATTACTTTTTTCTGAATTCATCTTTTTTTTTTTTTTTTTTTAGATTTACCCCAATAAATTCATAAAAGCTATTACCATTCTGCTCTGTATGTTGTCGTCATATAACTAACAGCCTAAAGCCTATATAATTTGGAGCTGTTTTGTTATTGTTAATTAAAAATAAAATGTCTTTTATTGATTAAAATAAATCTGCAATCACATAAAATATAAATATTAGATTAAACAAACACATACTTATAAAAGTTAAACTAAAACTGAAATAAAAATAAATTAAAGCTAAATAGAAATATTTTTAAAAAGTATAAAAATTACTAAATTAGTAATAAAAATGCTAATTCAAAATAGTATTATATACTACAATAGTATATAAATAATACTACAATAACCAATTATTACAACAGCAAGCTTAAGAATCAGTCCTGTGGCCAACAAACAGACCTTTGATTTTGGAGTTGAATGTACAATCACCATACAAGCATTACTGACAGTTAAACTGCTTAGAGAACCAGTTTTGTGTGTACAGATTAAGATATGCATCACAAAGCACGGTTACTGGTGTCTCTCGATTAATCCGTGTCTGAAAAAACAATTTATTGGGATCTGATTTATTGCATGCACCTCCCACAAACAGCTCAATGCCACCAGCAGCAGTAATTTGCTGCTCAAAGGCTTCACACTCGGCCTGCAGGTCGCTAGCATTGCCATCCAGTATATGGGTGTTCTGGGGTTCGATGTCAATGTGTTTAAAGAAGTTGTTCCACATGTAGGAGTGATAGCTCTCGGGATGATCCCTGGGCAGACCTGAAGATGAAGAGAAATGTAGAAATTAATTATGATGGTGCCTTTAATTATTACATTATTTTCTACTCTAACACAGTCATAGATACTGCATTCAATTAATGAGAATCACCACTGAGAATAATGGGAATTATGAAAAAAGTAAACCAACTAGATTCATTATGATGTGAATTTGATGGAAAACATGCTTTGTTTTAGTCGTGAAACTAAAGTCGTGTCACAATGCTACTATAATGTTTAATAAATGTTTTCTGAACTAGACTAGAAAGGGATTGAGGACAGAGGGCCAGTGCGTAAACGCTTTTTAACATTGTTTTATGCATTATCCATGCGTTATTTTTGGCCGACTTGCTGCGTCGGCAGCTCTCGTTCGGTTTTGACAGAGTTTGTGGAGATCTTGCATACCCAGCACTTCTCGTGAGAAGTGATCTGTGCAGTTCACACTCACCCACATACTCATCCATGTTAAAGGTCTTCACGAATTTGAAGGACAGGTCTCCATTCTTGTGATATTCGATCAGCTTCCTATAACAGCCGAGGGGTGTGCTACCTGCAAATAATCGGATTATATAATGATCTATATACTTATATAATAATCATAATCTTCCTGATGTATTGAATTTCCAGATATTTCTGAGAAAAATAAGATGTTCAACAAGATAAAAACATGCATAGGGCATGACTGGATTTTTATGCATTGGGATCTGATTGGTAACTTTTAGTTTACCTGTTGGGAGTCCTAAAGTGAAGTAGCGGTCAGCGCTGGGTTTGAACTGGATGATCCGGTTGCGGATGTACTTTGCAGCCCATTCGCTGGACAGATCATAGTCGTCTAGAATCACAAGTCTCATGACTTCTCACTGAGAACAGGTCGCTGCAATCCTTAAGACTCTAAAAATAAAGACAGATCAATACATTATTGACCAATTCAGATGATCAAGCAAAGTCCAGTCCAGTGAGGAGCAAAACAACCAAGATGCACATTTGATTTAATAAATATGATCGAATAGCATGTACAGTATATAATCAGTATGGCAATATATACTCATAAAACTGCATATGTTTGCTTTTGAACTTATATTAATGATATAAAATCCTCTATTGCTTTATTTACAACCAGCTGCGTTTTTAAGTGTCGACAGTTGTCGAATAATGGTTATGGATATATAATGGGTAATAAAATATTTTACTTACAGTAATAAAGCGAAGGATCTCAGCCACGTCCGGGTGAATGGATACAAGTTTTCTTTGAAAACACTGATCATGTGACGGAGTTCCGGTCATGTGCGCTGACGACGCACTTCCGGGTTGTAGCAACTGCCCATGTATGGAGACCTGTTTTTATACAGCCTATGATGGAGACCGAATATGAAATAAGCAATGAGCAGTATGAATGAAATGATATTAAGCATGTAGGATATCGTTTAAATTTGAAATGTGTGAATTAAGAAATATTAGTATTTCATATCGTACTGACACAGTTGTTTGATAGAGGACACTTTATTGATTAATCAAATATCATGTTTTATTGGCATGACAAACTGTATTTGTAGGTAATAACAATAGTGCACATATCTATATATCTATGTTAATTATATGTTGTGCGTAGCGCAATTATAATTTTGTCCAATTTTCACTCAAGTCGTTTAATTTCCTTCTTTTCTACTATAAATTACCTGACCTTGCTGTGTGAGAGAGAGGAACAGAAGGCGTCGGATTGAGGGACGATAGCGTGCAGACGTCTGATTCATTTTAGCGAATCGGCTCGTTCGGACAGTTCGTTTCAAGCGGTTCAAAAAATGATCAGTCGATTCGTTTGACGCCACATGATGGAAGTGTTTACAGAAACTGCAACAGAGCGTTTTTCTTTTTATGTGATTAAGTAAATATTTAGTTATGATGGCGTGACTTATAGGGTAAATCACTAACATATTGACAGGACCAAAAAACGAGTTTTAAAGCTACATCCACCAAATTTGTCACAGTTTGTCAAGTGACTAAATATAAACCTCTCAGAAACCCCTAACAACCACTAATACACATTAGCAACCGTGTAGCGGCTACATAGCTAGATTTAAAACAACTTAGCAAACGAGCATGAATTGATAAGCCGTATCGACCTGAATGTTGTTCTGTTGCTGCATTCAAACAACACATATAACTTGAAATCTTCAGAAATATTCAAGTATCCAAACTGTAGCCTATATGGCTTAAGTCTATTTTAAACGTAAACGTGAACTCAGTAAGTGTTTGTTAACGTTTAGCTGGCTCTTATTCCTCCCATTATCCTACCAGTCTTCATATTGACACCTATTGGCTTAGAAGCTAGTGACTAACAATTGTTTGTTTATATTTTTGTTTGTTTTTCTGCGTCTCAATGTTAATACATAGCCTACATCCATATAGTGGAAATTATCATTTTTGCTTATTGTTGGCGGTCCCTGAACTTAAAAGTAAATAATAATAATAATAATAATAATAATAATAATAATAATAATAATAATAATAATAATAATAATAATAATAATAATAATAATAATAATAATAATAATAATAATAATAATAATAATAATAATAATAATAGGCATAGGTTACTTGAAAGTGCTGTTCTCTGTGTGTGGAAATTATTTTATTTATTTTCCGAGTGCAATTGTTCTAGTTTATTAATACATTGTTCTAGTTTTCGAATTAAATACTGCTGTGGCGTGACTTATAGGGTAAATCACTAACATATAGACAGGGCCCAAAAACGAGAGTTTTAAAGCTACATCCACCAAATTTGTCACAGTTTGTCAAGTGACTAAATATAAACCTCTCAGAAAACCCTAACAACCACTAATACACATTAGCAACCGTGTAGCGGCTACATAGCTAGATTTAAAACAACTTAGCAAACGAGCATGAATTGATAAGCCGTATCGACCTGAATGTTGTTCTGTTGCTGCATTCAAACAACACATATAACTTGAAATCTTCAGAAATATTCAAGTATCCAAACTGTAGCCTATATGGCTTAAGTCTATTTTAAACGTAAACGTGAACTCAGTAAGTGTTTGTTAACGTTTAGCTGGCTCTTATTCCTCCCATTATCCTACCAGTCTTCATATTGACACCTATTGGCTTAGAAGCTAGTGACTAACAATTGTTTGTTTATATTTTTGTTTGTTTTTCTGCGTCTCAATGTTAATACATAGCCTACATCCATATAGTGGAAATTATCATTTTTGCTTATTGTTGGCGGTCCCTGAACTTAAAAGTAAATAATAATAATAATAATAATAATAATAATAATAATAGGCATAGGTTACTTGAAAGTGCTGTTCTCTGTGTGTGGAAATTATTTTATTTATTTTCCGAGTGCAATTGTTCTAGTTTATTAATACATTGTTCTAGTTTTCGAATTAAATACTGCTGTTTTAATTGTGTTTTCGACTAAGTCACACAAATTGTCAGATGTTCTCCCAAAACAGTAGAAGAAGAGTGATTTACAAACGCGTTGCGAATCGGTTCAACCAAATCAATACAAAGAGCCGTTTCAATACAACGATTCATTTGCGAATCGGACCTCACTGGGAAGGGATGAGGGAGGGGTGGAGTGGCCGAGAAGAGGCTGTCTGCGTTCAGATGAAGGATTAAACTGGTCCCTATCCTGATAGCATCTAGCACCGACACGCATCCCAAACATCATACCGCAACTGTCCGTCCCGTCTGAATCAGCCGGATCCACCTGCTCCCTTCATCCCGTGCTGGCTCTCCATCGCTGGACCGCACCGGTCCACACCCCCGGACCGGACCGGTGTCCTTTCAAACCACGAGGTGGGTGCAGCTGTCTCTGTTGTTCTTCTGCATGTTCATTCACTGGACATGTGTTTGTGTGCCAACAAGGAGCATTTTTAGAGGATCAAGGGTTGTTATTTTTAGTGTTTAGATTCATGTCTATTGTGCGCTCACTGCTGTTCGGACGGACGGAGAGCGAGATTCAAATCGGATTAAGATTAAACGGGAGAACCAACAAAAGATTGACCATTTTTTCTTTGTTTACTAGATTAACACACGTGACTTCTTCTATCTGAAATGAGATGACACGTGTGGATTTGGAAAAATCTGTTCAACACATTGGATCGAGGAAATACAGACAGTTTGAGCGGAGTAGCCTATGTAGGTCATTTTGGGTTTCGCGTCGGACGTGAATAGGATTTTGTAATATTTTTTTAGTCTGATTGTCATAGTAGTCTCATCATGATTTTTTTAAAACGCTGATTTGCACAAGATACTATGTAAAATGCGTATTTCCTTGTTTGTATGGGAGACTTTAGTTGAAAACTGCAGTGGCTATTATACAAAGAACATTGTCACATCTGTATATTTAACGATCAGACTTGATCTTAAAACAGCACTTGTGATAAACGTAAAAACGCAAGCAAGTCTGGTACGCTTATTACAACCCTATTTTAAAACCAATCACTGAATCGTTTTAAATTAATGAACAGTTCAACGGAATCGATTCGCTTTAAAGACTCGGACATGCCCAGCACTCGCGTGTTTACTATTGTTCAGTGAGCGCTGGTTATTTTGGAGACGCGCTCTTGACGCGGCGCTGCTCTTGCACGCACTGTGGCTTTTGCGTTGCGTTTGGACTATATATGGTTCAGACGGCACATATGTTGTGGAAACAAACTAAGATTTACTCTGGAGTTGTAAATCTCGTAGACCATGTGATTATGTTTTACAGACAGTGGGAGAACTGAGGGAGCACTGCTGCGTTTCCGAATGAGTGAGGTGTGGCATATGCACCCTCTTTCTCTCCTCGCCTTCTCTGTTTTTCGGGCGCTTTGGCACATCAAGTACACTGCACTAGACTTTATGCTCTATTCCTGCTTTACGTTTAAATATTTTGAGCTTTATTTTGCATGTATTTGCATGAGAGTAGATTGTAATATGCACACACGGCCATGTGCGCACGCACGCCATCTCAATATGTCAGGAGGAAGTGTGGAGAATAAGGAACATGATTATTTAGTGGGGTGTGTGTGATATTCTGTACATGCTGAATCTAGAGACAAAACAGGCTACAGAACTGAATACCAAGAAATTATTTATATAATTTTTTTTAACTTTATCATAGCCTACATATTTATTTTATTATGGTTTTATTTTACTGGGGTTGAACAGCAAGCTTTCTTATAAAACAGTGTAGGGACACAACTGTGAATCTTTGTTAAACATGTAAATTTTATTATTAATGTGAATTTAAATTATATTTAAAATCAATATTTTACTCTATATGAAGTATTGAGTCATAGTTTGTGGTCACATGGTTTGAGGGGTGGTGAATGATATTGCCATTATTTAAATCTATTTATTTTATCTATTTAAAATTAAAATTAATAGTAAATCAAATAACATTATACATTTATCTTAAGAACAATCTGGTGCTATTTTCATGGCTAGTAATACAACAATATAATACCGCTTTTTATGTTTATTTTTGTTTAACTTTTTCCCTTTCAAATATTTTCCAAATTCTTTGGCTTCTTTAAAATTCATAAAAAAAATACAATATTGCGTCAAAATGTCAGCATATATGAAACACTTCAGAAATCAGAAATTCTTTGGAATTAAACTATTGTTTTTTTTAACCAGCTGTGATATACAAATGACAGTATTACAACCTTTGATTTGAATTTTAAAAGAAAAAAGGTATTTGTAAATCAAAGACAAAAAGAGAAAGGTAAAATACTATTTGAAGCAATAATTCAAAGTAATCAAATAAATAATGTACAATAAAAAACGAATAATCTAATTTGGCAATTAAACATGATTTTTAAAAAAGCTGAAATAATAGTGAAATACTACTGTTTATCCTCAAGAGCTCATAGCAGGTTTCTTTTGAAAGTTTCACGTTATGTTATGCAAACTGAATTGGGATTTTTGCTTCCTGAACCTGACTTTGGTATTTTATTACGAGATATTGTCTCACATCTCAAGAATTAGCATGTGGGAAGTGTGTGTGTTCACGTGTGTTTGGATTAGGGAAATCTTCTGCTCTGTGTATGTGTGTTTGTGTGTACGTGTGTATTCTCAGCATTTTGTGTGGCTTCAGGCTCAGCTGATGACTCAGTGATGAATGGAGAACATATGATGTAGTTCCAGTGCAGAGAAACGGCCTGCTATACTTACACATCAGGAAATACAGGAAGCTCCTGTAACCCAAATTCACTCTTACTTCATCATGACACACACACACACGCACGCACGCAAACATGCACAGGTTTTTCTACCTATGATTAGCCTCTTTCGTGGCCTCTGGTCTTCATTTGTGTCTAAATGAACCACTTTGCTTAACTGAACAGCTAATCTGAATCACTTTTTGTAAAGTATAGATGTACTTACAGCGTGAGTTTAAAAATCTTGTTTTTAAATGTCTAATAGCCGTTGTGTTATTTTAGTATCATCGAGATGCTATTATATTTTTATATTTTTAATATATATTTATGTTATTAATATTATTAATATTTTGAATGTGTTTTTTTTTTTTACATTTTCCATCATTTTCCATTTTAGTTATAGTAATTTTGTTGTGTTGTTGTTGTCATTTCATTTTTTTTTCTTTTAATATATAGTTTTTTAATTCATTTTTATTACAGCTTTTAGTTATTTTAGTACATCAGACTAAATGAAAATGAGAAATTTTGTTTTGGCAACTAGCGGAAATAAGTTACCTGAAGTTTTTTATATTTTATTGAATTTCAGTTCATGTTTATTTTATTTTAAGTAGCAAGTTTTTTTATGGTTTTAATTTTAGTTAACCCTGCTTTAGTTCACGTCACAGCCTGGCGAAATTATGATTTTCTACTTGCTATTGCTATCAGGTGGTGTTTAAAATTTAGAGGGAGTGGCCTTTTCATTCTAAAGAGAATTTTATTGAATGAAAATGTGTGTACATCCTGTCAAACAAGTTTTTTTTTTTTCCTGCTAAAAGCTAATTTTGTGTATATTTAGCACAAGCTAAGAAAAACAGACTAAAAGCCAGATGCAAGTCATTAATAAGTGCAAATTCCGAATATTAATCTCCAAATGGTGGCTAGCTTTACCAGCATTCTGGGAACTGAAAACTCTCGGCCGCTGTTGCCGATGGAATTGAATTGAGAGGTTACACAAAAGGTTCTTTCTTTTATTATGCTAATGGATGGCTCTGACAGTCAGAACGGGGAAGAGAAGGGCGATTTAATTAGTGCTAAAGAGGAAACGTGGAATCATTTTCAACACACAACAAACTGCTGACTGGCACAGACAAAGCAAAGGAAACGCCATTATTCTAGGACCATTTATTCAGCTGTTAGTTAATGAGTATAGGATGAAACAAATCTGACCTAGTTTACAGACTGAAGCTGTGAACTGCAACACGTCTGCTGCATTTCTTTAGTCCTCAGTTGGTGCAGTACCAAGCGGGACTGAACCCTCGTTTTAAGAGCATATGCCACATCTTATTGCGTTATTCAGGAATGTGATGCAGCAGAGAACAGCCAATAGAACTGGACACGATGCGTTACATTTGATGTTCATTTGCTCAATGTGAAATGTTAGAAATCTCAGTGGAATCTCTAAAATTCATTGGCATTTAGACCTGGAGGGCATATGGTTAATAGCTTCTTTCTTTGAGTCTCTCACTGTGTAGAACTGCTCATGCAAACCTACTATTGAAAAGCAGTCAAGTATTATATCAATATGTCCTTCTTAAATTATTTTTCGTTTTCTAAATAAGAACTTGATTCTAAACTACAAATAATATGATTAAATAATAGGGTTAAATTAGGGCTGGACGATATGGCCAAAATTGATATCACGGTATATTTCTTAATTTCGGTCGATACGATATAATTCCGATATCGATATGAACACTATTTATCTGAAATAGAAATATTTTGTAACATTATAAATGCCTTTATCATCACTTTTGATCAATTTTAAGCATCCTTGCTAAATAAAAGTATAATTTCTATAATTTCTTTCCC